CCTCAGGCAGGAGCTCCCTCCACAAGCGGCCTCGGTCCTTCCCTGCTTCCCTTTCTGTGCAGAGGAGGAAATGGTGCTGCCCAGCCCTGCAGCCACTGCCCTGCCGTGCCACCCTTCACGTGCCAGGCCTCCTATGGGGCCGTGTCCACGCTGTGCTGCTCTCAGCTCCTGACCCAGCACCTCCCCCTGTGCACATCTGTGCCCAGATGTGCCTGGACACGAGTCCTGTTAGCCCCGAGCCCCCCGTGTCCCTTGCCGTGTCTCGTGCTCCTATTCCTGCCTTCTCATGGTTGAGGGGCGGTGCCCAAAAGCAGCACCCGTGCTCCTTGTGGGGAGGTTTTGGGGAGGAGGGTGGCCAGGCTGTCCCATGCCAGCAGGTGTCCCCACAGCCAGCGCTCCACCAGCCTGCACCCGGTGCCAGGCGCTGCCCCAAAACCGGCCCTGGCCCTGGCCCTGGCCCTGGCCCCATCCCTGCTGTGTGGGCTGAGCCGTGTCCCTCTCCCCTCCCCAGGTCTCTGTGCTCTCTCCATCAACCACGCCAACTCCTTCTTGGCTTACCCCGGCAGCGCCGCCAGCGGGGAGATCGCCCTGTACGATGGAAACACTTTGGTAAGCCTGGAGCTCGCCCCCCTGGGAGCCAGCAGGGACTGCAAACAAACAGAGCCACGGCAAAGCCAGAGAGGCCTTTGGGGAGGATGAATAAATCCACTCCGCTGAGCTGGACTGAGAGGGAACTGCCCTGGGAGCACATTCCACAGCCCCCTTGCTTGGACGCCACGTGAAGCAGACAGCCTCTGAGATCAGGACATAGAGTCATAGAAGGGTTTGGGGTGGAAGGGACCTTTAAAGGTCACCCAGTCCAACCCCCCTGCACTGAGCAGGGACATCCCCAACTAGAGCAGGGTGCTCAGAGCATTGTCCAACCTCCCCTGGGATGGTGCCAGGGATGGGGCAGCGACCACCTCTCTGGGCAACCTGGGCCAGGGGCTCAACACCCTCATTGCTTAAAAATTCCTTCCTTTTACCTAGTCTGGATCTCCCTCTTTTAGTTTTAAACCATCACTCCTTGTCCTGTCACAACAGGCCCTGCTAGAAAGACTGACATCCATCTCCCAGTAGCAGATATTCAGGGAAACGTGACCCATTACCCTGCAGCCCGAGGAGCTGCTGTCAGGCTGGGTCTGGGTTTCCCACAGGGGCTTCCTGTAGGAGCTTCCTACCGGGCTTCCTAGAGGAGTGCCAGAGCATATCCCATGGGGGTGATGTGTCCAGGGTAGCTCAGGGAGGGCTGGAGCTGCTCCAGGCACAGCACAGGATCCAGAGCAGCTGCTTTGCCACGCCGTGGGCTGGATGGGCCCCAAAGTCACGGAGAGGGCGAGTTGTTCAGAGCCTCCCTCACAAAACCTGGCTGGAAGCAGGGTCCTGACTATCTGCTGTTGATGCAGGGTTTGGGTTATGTAAGGCTGTCACTCTGGAGGTGCAGTGGGAGCTGAGGAGCTGCAGCAGGGGAGGAGCAGAGCACAAGGGGGAACGCTGCTGGGAGAGGGACCAGCGAGGGCCACGGGATTCGGGCAGGAGTGCTGAGGATGTGGTGATGTCCTGCAGAGACATGATCCCACAAATCCGCATGGATTTGGCAGGAGGCAGGGAACACCCTGCCCTCACACAGGCCGAGGAGCAACGTGTCTCTGCCCTCACATTCCCTTCTGCCTTACAGAAAACAGCCTGCACCATTCCTGCCCACGATGGGCCGCTGGCCGCTCTCGCCTTCAACTCCACCGGCTCCAAGCTGGCAAGTGCTTCTGAAAAAGTGAGTGAGAAGGGCTGTGAGCAGCTTCCTTCTGCCCCTGCTCCCTGCCTGGGGCTGCTCTGGGGCACCAAGAGCTGGACCTCCGAGCTGGCTGTTTTTAATCAGAGCCAGCAGAGGAGGGGCACTGAGAGGACTCTGACTTGTAAGAGGCCAGTGTATCGGGCGCGGATCGACCCCGGCTGGCAAACAGGAGGGGCCTTTGCCCTTCCCGAGTTCCTTGGGTGTGTCTGAGAAAGGGCTTGTGGTCCTTGCCCTGCTCCTGCGTGATCTTTCCATTCACATTTTTTGCAGGGCACAGTCATTCGTGTGTTTTCCATTCCTGGGGGGCAGAAGCTGTATGAATTCCGGCGAGGGATGAAAAGGTCAGTTCATTCTTCTGTCGGTGGCAAGTACACAGAGGGCTCCCGGAGCAGAAACGTAAACAGAAGGACAGGGCAGCCTCAGATCCTGGTGGCTTTGGCATCTTTTGCAGAAGGAAAACAAGAGTGCCCATATCAGATAGAAAAGCCATTGTGCCAGCCAGCCACGCTGGCCCAGCTGCCTCTGGGGAGCTGAGTGATGCAATGTCACAGAGCAGGGCGATGGCAGAGAACAGAGGTAGATTCAGCCCGGGCACTCTCTCCTTTCTTCTTTCTTACTTGAGATAATGAAGTCCCCAAAGTTACAGCCTGACTTTTGCCCTCTCAAAGAGGTGCTTTGAAGCTGCTGAGTGATCTGTGCAGAGCCCAAGTGCCCAAGGCAGGAGTGGGCTGTTGCTGCCCTTCTGCAGGCTCCCTCAGATCTCTTCAGTAGATCCATTCCTGACCCTTCCTTCTTCCCCATCCCTGACCTGCCTGTGATTTTACAGCCCCTTCTGCCAATACAAAACCTGCTGTGACCGAGAGAACCCTGTGCAGGAGGAGGTGCCATTTGTATCCCACCATCCAGCATTTGGATCCCCTGCCTTGCATACTCCTTTGCAGTACCAGCAGCTTATCTGCTGTAGTGAGGCCGGCGCAGATGTTCACTCCACAGGCAGCTCTGTGAGCAAGGACATTTCCACCTCTCTGGCTGTTTGTCACTAGCTCGAGGCTACCCCAGCTCTGCTGAGCAAAGGGATTAGAGGAATGCTCTGCAGCCAGCCCGCAGGCTCAGCAGCTCAGGCAGGGTGCTCCTCACCATTTATGGGTCTGCTTCCTCCCCATCCCCTTCTCTGTGAGCAAAACCTTGCAGTTCCCCTGAACAGGATGCCATGAAGTGACTCCTGCTGCCTCTGCTTGGCCCTAGGTATGTGAACATCAGCTCCCTGGTGTTCAGCATGGATTCCCAGTTCCTCTGTGCTTCCAGCAACACGGAGACCGTGCACATCTTTAAACTGGAGCATCTCACTGACAGGTGAGGGGGTTGGCCTGGGTTAACCTGCCTGTCCCAGGGGTGTCTGCCTCAGAGCTCTGCCTTTACACGCTGGCCTCCATGTCCTCACCACATCCTCTCCATGAGCAGTACCAACTGCAAACTGGACTCTGTGTCCTTGGGAAAGCTACAGAGTGTCCCTGCTGCCAGCCTCTGCAGGCCTGCTCCAGGTTTATTAGCTGCCACTGTCCCTCACCTCCTGCCTGTGTGTCCAGCCAGGCTGGTGCTGCCAAGAAAGCTTCACGGGTCTGAGGTGGGGATCGTTTGGTCTGTTCCTGAGCCGTTCTCTCACGCTGGCTGTGGTAGCCCCACTGATGCTGCTTTGTGACCCCCTCAGCCGGCCAGAAGAGCCTCCAACCTGGAGCGGGTACATGGGGAAGATGTTCCAGGCTGCTACCAACTACCTCCCTGCTCAGGTGTCGGGCATGATGAACCAGGATCGAGCCTTTGCCACCGTCCGCCTCAACATCTCCGGCCAGAGGAACATCTGTGCCCTCTCCACGTATGTACCAGCATCTGTGTCCCCTTGTGTCCCCCCTGCCACACCAGGCTGTGAGCAGCCACTGCTATCTCTGCGGGACACCGCCACGCTGGCCC